TCCCTGTGTCTCCTCCATGTCTCTGTGTCTCCTCCATGTCCCTGGTGCCATGTCCCTGTGTCTCCTCCATGTCTCCTCAATGTCTCTGGTGTTATGTCCATATGTCTATGTACGTTCATGTGTCTTTGTGTGTTCTATTTGTAATGTAAATGAATGCATCCCATGTAGAGATACACACACACACACAGACAAAAACATGTTTGAAAGTGGATCACATCTTTATACAGTAATTAACAGTTTCGACTGTATTCAGTAAATCATTCATCTACATTGCTGCATCAAATATACATAATACATTATACAAGAATGCAAACATTAACATCAGACGTGATTTATCGCAAAGCAATGGACGGACAAGATACTTAATAATGTCACACACCTGATTCAGGGGCAACTGCTGCCACCCCCACCTCCCCCATCCCCTCCCCAACAAACTGACCCCCCGATAATATACCACAGGACAAGTGTCAATTTATTTTGCTGTTTCCATGTTTACATACAAGAAGTAAATTGCAAAGCTTCGGTACCCCGTATTTTGAAACACTTGATTCCACTTACATTTTCATAACTGATATTACACTTTGATAACTGATAATACATATACAATGAACCATTGACAATTCGGGTTAGAATAGGTCTTCAGTAACATATGCTTGCTGCAACAGGTGAATACTTGTCATAAGAGGCGACTAATAGGATCGGGTGGTCAGGCTTGCTGACTTGGTTGATGCATGTCATCGTATTTCAGCATGGATCGATGCTTATGATGTCAATCACTGGATTGTCAGGTCCAGACTTGATTATTTACAGACCGCCGTCATATAGCTGGAATGCTGCTGAACCACAACCAATGAGAAGCTCATCATATTCTGTATGCACTTGTATACACTGCTACTCCAAAATCTACTTAAAAGGGACTGGTAACACTCAACATTTCTAAACAAACATGTTTATTCTCAGGTAGGAGTTTGAAAAAAAATGTTGGCAACATCATTGTTTGACATATTCCCAAGGCAAGGGAGGTAACTCACCATGAAAGTCCAGTTTCTACCCTTGCCGAACTAGGCGGGAATCATGGAGTTATATTTTGGCTGGACTGAGTCTGTGTACAGTCTATTCAAAATCACATAACGAAATCAACATCCAGTTCGTAAATTGCCATACAGATTCTGGTCAAATGCAAAACATGTGTTCCGCCAACTCGTCAAACAGATATTTTCCAAATCTTTTCATTTTGTTAATCAAGGTGCTCACGTGATTTGACGCACTTCACGAAGATTTTGATTCTCAATCAGATTGTCTTGACTGGGGGCCTCCATTTTGTTTGAAGCAAATGCAAGTGATATGAGAGGCGGAATCTGATTGGTCACTAGCAGGGATACAGAAGGGACATAACTTGTAATAGCCACTGGTGGCGCTACGATCGAGCCAGAAATTCAAGCCTAGTTCTTCAGTTGGTGAAAACTGAACTTTTACAGTCAGTTAACTCCCTTGCCTCGCGTAGATGTTGTTTGAAAGAGTTAACATAAAATTGTATTCTTGAAAGAGTGTTCCTTCAGACACTTGTCCTTTGTTATATTATTCTTGGGGGGCACTTTTCCAGGGTGCATATTTCCCGGGGGCAGTTACCTGATGCTCCCACACCCCAATGATTAAGATACCACACACCCATACTATTTCACAAATACATGTCCTCAATAATCAGATGTCACTCTATCTAAATATACACTTGACAAATGAGGGTCGGGTCTGTGTATCATAAGATAAAAATATCCCTATCAAAAGTGGAGTAGTATATTTATACACAAACAATCTTAGATTTCATAAAAAATATAGTAGCACTAAAATAAAAACTTGAAAGGAAAAGTTACAAATTCAAAATGGCCGACTTTGGTGTTCATTCGAGGTTCACCTATTTCCCATGTGTTTGAGTGCAAACATATGCTGGATCACAGATGACCATGACACAAGGAACTGAGGACATGAAGTTAGGCAAACAAACACACAATGCACCATTTGGACCTGCATAGATAATGTTCCAAGTCAAAGACTCGACCATCCATCTACCCTCACTGTCATGTAGTTCCCTGATTAGGGACCAGTTCAAAAGTTCAATGTTGGATAAAAATCTGAATTCCTTTAGTTTAGGAGTGGGGGGTTAATGGCCCTGCAAGCATTCCATCCAACAAAATCAACTTACCTGATTTCTCAATGTTTTTACAGTAATTCAACTGAACCAATCCTATTTTCATTCATATGATGATAGGAGCTGTCATTAAATACATCCAGCCTTTCCACAAGGTAGTGTTTCATCATCTAGTCCAGCTAGTGCAGTGCGTAATATATGATAACACATTTGATCTATCAAAACCCTACAAATGATTGTTAACACCTAGTAAATAAACTTCATTCGATAAAACCTTGAAAACCTTGAAAATGCGTGATAAAAGAGGTCACTAAACTTGGAAATTCAACATCTTCAGAATTAAGTTTTTTAGGGGGTAAGGGGGTATGTTTCAAAACTTAAGGAATTAAGTTTTTTAACCGACATCAAACTTTTGAACTGGTCCCTAAACAGAACAATTTGTTAAACCACAAGCAAGAATCTTAAGTCTGGTGGGTAAAGCTTTTGCTTTAATTTGCTGATCAAAGTATTGCTTTTATAACTCTCACTCACAGATCAATTATTTATGTTATGAATGTGGGGGATGAGTAAGGGATCGTCACAAAAGTTCACAGTCTACCACTAGACATATGTCTTTAATACTGTGGGTGGGAGGTCAGGTATCCTATTAATCTTCTTAATCTAGTGGTCGACTGTGAAGTGTTGAGATGGTCCCTAGGGGTCTAATGTTTTATTAGGGAAATTTCATATCTCCCATTTTGGTGACCTCTCTCAAGATTGGCATGATAATTCCGCTGAACAGACATAGTTTGAGAAGCATGGTGAACATCAATTTAGTGATGCTGTATTCCCCTCCCTATCTGTCGCTGTCGTACTCCACCTCCGTCTTGTACTCCTGCATGAACTGCTCATAGATGCACTGGAGACAACATGGCTGACCACTGCAAGGAGAAACAGGTCAAGGTCAAGAAGAGGCACTCTCCATGCAACATCTTTCTCTAAACTGGAACAGTAACAAGACATACTTTGCTACCTGGATACATTTCTCCCTGACACTTACATTCACACAGTATATTAAACTGGAACAATAAAGCTGCTAGTCCCAGTGTACATGGAAGTGACCGATCATTTGATATTTGGGGTTGGGTGGGGGTTGGGTGGGGGCTGGGATTTTGTCTGGAAATTAGATATTTTTTCAGCTAAAGCTGCAAAACCAAATATATTATTAATTGAACCTTCCTGTATGAGCCTTATTATTTAAAAACAAACCCACCTTGCAGCAACGTAATTTTGTGGCAAACAAGCTCTTTTTTTTGACAGTCTGAAACAGGGATCAGGAAACCGATCTGCGCAAAATGTCCGATTTAAAAAAGTACAAACTTGACATATTAAAATTTGCCAACCGAATATTTCAAGAAAGTACAGGTAGAACATTACAACCTGAGATTGATCATAACAAAGGATATAAAATGGAGAGGTGCACCAGTCTCTGAAGTATTATTATTGTTTTCAAGAATCTTCTGGTACAATTTAATTTTTTTGGATAAAATCCCAGGCCCCCCTCCACTCCCCCTCCCCCCGAGAATATCAAACAGTCAGTCCCTACCCTATCACATATCATCAGTGCCAGTGCTTTTCAATCAAGGAGGACACAGCAGCTGTCCTATAGGGGGATGGTTCCCTTCAGAAAATCAGAATATAATGAGTCATCAAGTTTCCACTGTTGACAACACAGCAGATATTTCAATTTCACTCATAAGAAAACAAGGAATGAAATATTAAGATAAGGTTAGTTAAAATAAATGCAAATTGGTGATTTAAGCAGAATTTCTGCAGATATCGTTCATTTTAGAAATTCCAAATTCCATATTTCATATTTGTGTACAAACCATTGGTCCAAGTTCAAGCTGCTGTGTGACGTGATACACACCTGATTATACTTGATTAATAAGTGCACCCACTCAGTCAGCGCAGATAGGATAGCAGAGTCTCAGGCTCTCAAGGGTCTGCCGATAATATGTCAACATCGAAGCAGTCAGCAGCTGTGTATGATTGGAAGCCTGATTGGCCAGTTTCTGGTGCCACCGCCTCCAAGTTAGAGTCATGGTGGAGCTAGATACACCAGGGGTCACCGAAGGTCAAAAGGTCAGATGAAGTCAAGGACATTTGCATGCAAGGTCAAACGTGGCGCAGTTGGGGGAAAGCTATCAGTGAAGCAAACAACATTGTACACACCACTCCGTGCAGGGAATGAGAGAGGCATGCATCAAACTGTAGAATTACCTGTAAGTTTACCATTGAGTGTACAAACACATGCAGTACTCTCACTACTGACAAAACACACACACACACACAACATTAAAACTCTGATTTTTTTCATAGATTGGTACATGCATGTTGACATTCAAATAACTACACAAACCTTCACTAGATATTTCATTTCACACAAGGCACAATTAAATCCTTCCTTCCTTTTGTCACAGTTCTTGATCAAATAAGAAAAGAGATAAACCATTTTTTTTAAATGTGGACAGATTAATATATTATTGACATAAAAGTTTTAACAAATAATTAAAACAAGATTTCTGCAAATTTTAAATCAAACAATAAAGTCTGTTTAAACACTGTTAGTGTCTTATTCAAGACTGACAATATATTTTATACCTTATCTCAAGCTGTATTTTTTCTCCTCCCAAAATAAATCTTATCTTGTCTTGTCAGTGACACATGCAGTCATTTGTCCAGGATTCTGATTAATCACAGTTGAGTACTCAGTTTGTAACTATGCATAATGCCCTCAGTACAAAAATCAAAGTTTTACTGTTATAGCTGTGGAAAATTCAGTTTAATCTGGAAAAAGAACTTCATAAATACATTTAACGAATGTATGGTTTATTTCAATTAAAATATATATCACAGATTGATTGATTAAATTACACATTGAATCTTACAGAGCAAAACAAAACAACTATGCACATTAATATATCTCTCAGAAGTGGGAATATTAACAAAAAACGGTTACTATATTATTTGATTTATTAATAGTTTAACTATACACATCGGATAAACTATAACTAGTTTCTAAAAAGTGTCACTTGAGAACTGAGTTTCTAAGGTATGTGATTTCCATCATGTTGATATTGATACAGTCAATGACTTGTCAATTTCTAAATAGACAAAACTTAGCTGGGTAGCTGGCAGTGCCCGAGTGATGTTAATTACTTTAACCGGGCAGGTAGCAGTGCCCTGGATACTCTACCAGGAATACAACCAATGAAGACACTCATATTGTGGAAGGCCTGATAATGATGATACAATAGACATGCATGCTGACAGCTATAGACATGCATGCTGACAGCTATAGACATGCATGCTGACAGCTAAAGACATGCATGCTGACTGATATAGACATGCATACTGACAGCTATAGACATGCATGCAGACAGCTATAGACATGCATGCTGACAGCTATAGACATGCATGCTGACAGCTATAGACATGCATGCTGACAGCTATAGACATGCATGCTGACAGCTATAGACATGCATGCAGACAGCTATAGACATGCATGCAGACAGCTATAGACATGCATGCTGACAGCTGTAGACATGCATGCTGACAGCTATAGACATGCATGCAGACAGCTATAGACATGAATGCTGACTGCAATAGACATGCATACTGACAGCTATAGACATGCATGCTGACAGCTATAGACATGCATGCTGACAGCTATAGACATGCATGCTGACAGCTATAGACATGCATGCAGACAGCTATAGACATGCATGCAGACAGCTATAGACATGCATGCTGACTGCTATAGACATGCATACTGACAGCTATAGACATGCATGCTGACAGCTATAGACATGCATGCTGACAGCTATAGACATGCATGCTGACAGCTATAGACATGCATGCAGACAGCTATAGACATGCATGCTGACAGCTATAGACATGCATGCTGACAGCTATAGACATGCATGCAGACAGCTATAGACATGCATGCTGACAGCTATAGACATGCATGCTGACAGCTATAGACATGCATGCTGACAGCTACAGACATGCATGCAGACAGCTATAGACATGCATGCTGACAGCTATAGACATGCATGCTGACAGCTATAGACATGCATGCTGACAGCTATAGACATGCATGCTGACAGCTATAGACATGCATGCTGACAGCTATAGACATGCATGCAGACAGCTATAGACATGCATGCTGACAGCTATAGACATGCATGCTGACAGCTATAGACATGCATGCTGACAGCTATAGACATGCATGCAGACAGCTATAGACATGCATGCTGACAGCTATAGACATGCATGCTGACAGCTATAGACATGCATGCAGACAGCTATAGACATGCATGCTGACAGCTATAGACATGCATGCTGACAGCTATAGACATGCATGCTGACAGCTACAGACATGCATGCAGACAGCTATAGACATGCATGCTGACAGCTATAGACATGCATGCTGACAGCTATAGACATGCATGCTGACAGCTATAGACATGCATGCTGACAGCTATAGACATGCATGCTGACAGCTATAGACATGCATGCAGACAGCTATAGACATGCATGCTGACAGCTATAGACATGCATGCTGACAGCTATAGACATGCATGCTGACAGCTATAGACATGCATGCTGACAGCTATAGACATGCATGCTGACAGCTATAGACATGCATGCTGACAGCTATAGACATGCATGCAGACAGCTATAGACATGCATGCTGACAGCTATAGACATGCATGCTGACAGCTATAGACATGCATGCAGACAGCTATAGACATGCATGCAGACAGCTATTGCTCTACATGCATGCTGACAGCTATTGCTCTACATGCAACTGATATGATATGTACATCAGGTGACACCTATAAGTTACATGATATCTACATGAGCAGGTCAATACTAATTTTAGCTGTCATCAAGTCATTGGTATCATATGATTTAAGTAATGGCAATAGGTAATATCAAGAAAAGAATATTCCGAGGTGTATAACTCAAGTAAGACTCTAGATGGCATGAAATGTGATGGCACACCACAATTGTGAAACTAAACTCTTAGGTTAAATACTGTCAGACAGAAATGGATAGTCCGAGTATCAAATTCCACTAACTTGAGGAGTTCAGTCGGAAACAATGCTGTGTCTATTCCTGACACTTCAGAGTGGGTCTGTTTTAAACAAAGGGTCATACGCAAGGAACATATGTTTTGTAAAGAGTGGGAAAGTAGTATTATCCTCGCATGAGGGTAAGTTTAATGTGTACAAAGCTCAGTGCAAAATAGTATTCATTTCTGTCGAAAGTTTTTGACCACTTTCATAATTGAGGTGTGGATGTCATTTCAAACTACAGCATGAACAAAAATAACAAATATCATTCTTTGGTGTAAGCATACAGATGATCAGCAGATTTGCCATAATAAACCTATGTCAGTATTGTCAGATACAACACTACACTGCTGATCATCAGACAACTGGCACTACTGACAACGAAGCTTCTAGTCTGGTCAGTGTCATGAGAAATGTACATGCAGGTGTGAAGGTGACATTGCTTTCAGGAGTAACAAGGCAGGTGGAGAAGGCAGCATGCTGATGGCCCTGGGTGTGGCTAGCTCTACCTATAAACTGTATCTTGGGTAGGTTCAGCGTAGAAGTCATCGACTCCTGGGGGTGGGGATCCTAGTCGCCGTGGCAACCCAAGCTGCTGGGACAGCGGTCTGTAGTCTGATAGGTTGGGTAGCTGGGGTAGGTCTGGGTTAGAATAGCCTGCAGCAGATAATAATAATAATAATAACAAAAACAACAATAATAAAAATAACATCGTCTGATTAAATGTTTTGGGAAATCATATGTTTTTGGACGGCCAGTGTTTATCACGATTTCTCACACTATAACAAGGGGATCATAAATCAGGGATCGGATGGTCCGGCTCTGTGATTCAGCTGACTGCGTGTCACATTGCCCCTACAATAGGTTATGTTGCTCATGGTTTCAGTCACTGGTTTTATTGGATCCTGCATCACTGGTTTACAAGATCAAGAACTATTGCAGGAATATTTCTGACTGATTCTGAACAAAATCCACTCACTATTTCAAGGATTAACGTGCAGCGTTCAATGTTCTAACACACTGTAACATATTCCAGAACCCACGTCACTGTATACTGAAGGAATTGTATAGCCTACCACTACCTTCTATTACATACAAGCAAAACTGCTATTCAAACCTTACTGAAGAATCAGTTTGTTACATCAGTTAGCATCAGTCTGATCTAGAAGTTAGAAGGTTATTCCACACATCTGTTCTGCTACAGAACACAATCTGTTACAGTAAGAAGCCAGCAATGTGAAAGTTATCATATGTTAAAAGTGGATTGATGAAAAAAATGAATTAACATTTCAACATAACATATGTATCTAATGACCTTTATCTGCTCATATTTAGTTTGTTTTTGGAAGTGTAACTTCCTTAAAATCCCTTATCAAGAAGGTGATCCAAATTATCTCCCCTTGATAACTTACCCTGTAAAATGTGTACCTCCCCTACAACTGTATGCACTTCAGTACATGGATTATTACTCTACATAGCAAGAGATGATACTTTACAACCTTTAAACCTTTAAAATATTTTACAAGTTTAAAATCAATTATCATTTAATCAACATGAAATAGTTCGCATGATAGGTATAGGTTAGCCCACAAGGAGCCCATGTTTGATCGTTGAAAGTGACAGTGAGCTCCCTACTTGTTCCAAGCCTTCAACCAATTGATGGACACTTGTATATGATGAAGCATATTTTCACTAAAGGTTCTACAATAATCAGCAGCAGCGGAGTTGACCTTGAAATACCTTAGAGGTAATAGAACATCACATAATGACCTGTTGATAAAAGATTTGACATACATTTGAAATATACAACACATAACTATGTCGATTACAAGTTTATCTCATATCATTTACAATTAGTGAAATATACATGGATAATATATTAATATATACAAATGAGCTGACATCTCCATGAAACGTACCTGCCAGCATGGCTTCGTAGGCTATAGAGGAGGGTGTGACAACATTGGGAGCCTTTGATCTCCTGAAATGTACAAGATATTGACATCAATCACTGTCACCACATGATACATGTACACGAACTGTGTAACTAGCATCTTGGACATGTGTAAACAACGCTGCTATGATTGAGAGCAAAAATAACCTCATCTCTAACACCCACAAGTAGTTCTTGACCTTTGCCTACAGATTACAACTGTCATCTGTTTGGTTAAAACTGAAAACAATTTACACAGATTAGAAGAAAAGTATCAACAAAGTTCAAATGATTATTGTCAACAATCTTGTATAGATTGATCATACCTAAATATCAAATTACAATTTTATATAGATTGATAACCTGCCTTATAGGCCTCGAACCCTCATACATCACATTTTAGACTTTCACCACAAATCCCTGTCAGCCCTGCTTTATCTCCCCCCACCCCTACTCTATCTCCCCCCACCCCTACTCTAACTCCCCCCACCCCTACTCTAACTCCCCCCACCCCTACTCTGTCTCCCCCCACCCCTACTCTATCTCCCCCCACCCCTACTCTATCTCCCCCCACCCCTACTCTAACTCCCCCCACCGTAGTGTCCTTGTGGCCACGGCTGACTTGGGTCGTCTCTTCATGTTGTCCGGGAGGCCGTCCTTCCACCCAGGGGTGTGGCCGGACTTGGGGCGTTTCAGCTGCTCCTCCCAGTACAGGTCCCGCCCCCCTCCCATCCAGTAGTTGGCCCGGTGGATGTGTAGTCTGCTGGAGGGGGGGTCGTCCGTCAGGGCAGGGGACGTTGGTCTCTGGGGTGGTGGTTGTTTGGCTGCAACATATATGGTGGTTTCAGTAGCACGGCATTGTCACGAATACTTGCACCACTTCAGATCAGCATTGTGAGATAAAGTATTATTAGAACTCTTAGATAACCAACCTGCAGCTCAATTTAAGGGGCATAACTCCAATGTAAGATGTTACAACATAATCTCCATGGACTGGTAAAACAGGTTTTATAAAAATTCCACCATTCACAAAATGAATATATGAGAAATATCTGACAAATTTATTGTCTGTACAGTATTTGACTATCTGTAGTGAATTCAATGGTCTGTGATGATTTAGTATTCAAAAACAATTCAGTTCTCAATACATGTTCTACAAGACTTAGCATGCACACGTTGAGAGACTGAATGTAGACTAGGCTGCAGATATATATTCCAGCCATATCAGGACAGCCGATAAAACATCTGGGCCAGGCAAACCAGTGGCTGACAGCATGAGCAATAATCCAGGCAGTCTGGTCATGATGACACACAGTCAGCCTGACTACACACTGCAAGTAACCAATATCCTCTTTTGACCAATACTTCCTATTTGTTTAGGCCTATCTTGAAGTGTGACCTAGTCTTGCCCTGCTCCTACCTGTGGGTGTGGTGGGAACTGACGCTCGTTTCTTCCACACTTCTGTGCGAGCTCGCTGGAAGTCTGTGTTGTAGCCGCTCCCAGGCCGACTGGCTGGCTGGGCTGTCACGAAGTACCGGTAGGCGTCCACCGCGCTGAATGGTCTACTACTCCTCATGGGGGCAACGTTCTTGCTGTAGACAGGCAATAGCTTTCAAGACATATGGCAAGAGATGCTATGAATGTTGGAAGTTAACTGAAGTCTATAGGGAATAGTTCAAAAATCTTCATGAAAGTTGTAATATTAATATAGGATTTACAAAGAAAACTTTGAGACAAAAAGTAAAATTTCATCCCTGGATCCCTGGGCTCAATTACTTTGACACAAAAAAATTGGAAAATAAAGGCATAAAATTTGCTCTGGTGCAACCATACACGAACATAAATGAGTCTAAGATTAAAACTCAAACAAAGGATCCTGTAACGGCTAAGGAACGCAACACAGCACAGTTGAGTAAAAAAGGGCAATTTCATGTAAAAAAGAGTAATATCAAGAGTACCATGCCATGATAGGTTAGGCCTATATGTACACGAAGCTAGGTTACACATGCATTGGCGCCAGTAATGTAGCCACACACACAAGCCACTCTATTTTAAAAACAGGGTGATAAAGCTCAAAGTACACAGAAGAAATGATGCTGCTTGCATTTGTATGCTTAAATATGATAAAACCTTGAAATTGAATATCAATCCAAACATAAATAAAAATCAACATTAAAAAAGGACTTGAAAATAAAAGTTCCTTCACATCGGGGACATGTTTCAAACAAACATGTTGTATTTTGAATAACTTTTGAGATTATAGATTATATATCACCTACGAAAGCATTTAATTTATTTTAGCGAGGAGACAAATAATGGTGCTGAAATCACTGCATTCATGCTAAAACCTGTGACATAGCTACACACATGCATAAATTCATCATGTGACAATATTAACTGTGTTCCAGAAAGACAATGTGGTGTTTCGAGTTCTGAAGAAATATTGGTCGACATGCAATTAGCTCCCTGTAGAATGCCTCATGTGATCGGTGCTTAACAATTTGCTCTCCGTGATATTTTATACATGTAAATTATTTGTGAAAAAAAGGTAAAAAGTCACAATTTTGGAAAGATAAGTGTAAAAGCGTAATTTCAGACACAAAAGCGCAATCATTATGCCAAAAGTGTAATGGGTGGCATCTCTGCAAACATGGCAAATATATAGACCATCAATCACTTCTGATAAAATATATCAAAATATTTTTACCTACCCTGCTAATGGCTTGCGGACGCTATCGGTGATCCCCTTCCGTAACCTCCCCTGACCTCTTGTCCCCTTCTCTCTCCCCGTGTTGGGCTCACTCTCCCCCTCCACCACACTTGGCAGCTGAACATCAAGGTGAGCAGGGGGAGGCCACTCTGAGTTGGGTCTGTTGTTGTTGCCTCCCTTGGATGAAGTAGACTTGGAGCTGTCTGCATGAATGGACTGTAGCTCTGGCTCCTCATCTGACTGGAGGTCTGGATCGGATCTGAAGTTGAAGTTGATAGCTCATGAAAAATAAATGTCATTAAAGCATGGCTTTTCTTTTCTCATATAAGTAAGTGTGTTCCTGTTCATAACATTTCAAACAGTAAAAGAAAAACAAAACAAAAACATATATGCTGCTTAAGGTTACACCAAATCTTATCAGTTGTTTGTCTGAATCCAAGCCTTGATAGGAGACTAACATAAGTAACCCTAAGTAATCCACACTGGACATACAATAATTAATTGTGACACTGGCTTCTAAAATAGGTCTGGGATTAGGCAATACAACGGAAGGTCCCTTAATAATAGCACAGAAATACAAGCAAACTGACTCTACTGACAGCTGTTACTTAGTATCCGATGGAAGTGGATGTATGTGACAAAGCTATGATTATAAATTCTCTTCACATACTCATGTTTCTTTTTATCTGATTTATATTAGGATTTATAATAAGGATTTCAGGATACAATTCTCAAAATGTTTATCTTATCTATTGCCTTAAAAACTTGGGTGTGTTAACTACCCACGTCTATCCACCCAGCTACAGATCTGTGAATGGTGATGACTGAGCTACAAACCTGTTGTGCAGCCTGTCGGCAGCGGAGGGGGGCGAGTGTCCGTCGATCTGCACCAGCAGGGACCCCTGGACAGAACCCTGGGGACAGATCAACTGATGAGTGAGTTGGGCTTAACTAAGTGTCATCTTGTAGTGGGAGGAATGAGGTAATGTATGCAGTTCATTACATGTTAGGCCTCTGATGGGCACACAAGTACTTGAACAAGGGTCAGGGTTAGATGGACTCGAGTACTCAACCAGGGGAGATAACTCAACTCCAATTTTCTAACATGTGTTGCAGACATGGAAGTTTTGTTTGTTTGTTTTTTAACGCAGCACTCAGCAATATTCCAGCAGTCTGTGAATAATCAAATCTTGACCAGACAATCTAGTGATTGACATCATGAGCATCGATCCTCGCAATTGGGAAACGATGACATGCATCAACCAAGTCAGCGAGACTGACCTACTGATCCTGTTAGGCACCTCTTGTGACAAGCATTGTCACCTCTTATGGCAAGCATGGGTTGCTGAAGACCTATTCTACCCCGGATCTTCATGGGTCCAGACATGAAGTGAAAAAGTACAGTGGAAGCATTTTGACTCAGATGATTCCATGGAAACAACATCCTCGATCATCCTGTGTATCATGTCCCCATTCTATTATGATAAATACCCTGGACCCATTCCCCATCATTTGTGAATAAAATTAATGTGACATTTTTGTAAATATTGATTGTCCTTGAAACATTTAGTCAATTCCCGATAGAAAAATTCATAATATTCATATAAAGTATCTAACTGTCCAAGTGAAAGTGATGAAACGTCATGCTCCATATTTGCCTATACCCAAACAAACCTATTTGGGGGCGCTGCCTAAAGCTACCAGCGCAGCAGTGACAACAGTTTTCATTGGCTGTTACGTTTGCCGTGTTTATCTATCTTGTGATTCTAGGCCGATATACATGTGCTGTTTCTATTAATCCTACAAAAATTACAATTGTGCATACATTGTGTGAAACAACTCTTGATCTTGTGAATAATTAAGATAACAATTAAACATCGGTAACTAACTGAGTTTGATAACTAACATCCTGTTTGGGAAATAAAACACCAGTTGCCCTTGGTCCTATTCTACATAATAACTACCCATCTGGGATGAATCCCTTGAGTAAACAACTGAAGGCATCTTCGTGTTGTTAATCATAAGGATGAGCAGACAGAAAAAAGACATTTTGCATCACAAAACCCGAGGCAGAAGCAGGCAAACTGGGCATCAGCACAATCATCAAGAACGTTGAAATTGCGCAGCACGTCAAACACCAGGAACCCGTTTTAACCTCCAGCAAGGGGATTCCCCGCAGTGGAGGAATTTTTCATTTGGGAGATGATTTTGCCTGTTGTTTTTTTATCTTCTGTTTTCTGCCATTTCCGTTTTTCAAACTTAATTTTGGTGAAGCATTTGTGATTAAGTATGCCCTAAAGCCATTTTGACCATATACTTGTCCTTTAATTGAGTATTCAGTGCCCAGTAAGTTTAACATTTGAGACATCCAGCTAATGCCTTGTTGTTCCGAATTTCCAAAGTTTAAATTATTAATAACATCCTCACATCTGAAAACACACAATGTTTTTATCCTAACAGTACTGTAACCATGGTTATAACAAACTCCAAGGGACTGACATTTGTTTATCATATCCATAGTTCGTTACTCACAAACCATGTCTGATATGCTTTACTCATACACACTATTCATATCAGTTACAGAATGACTTTGGCAATCAAGGAAAGTGTGGGAGAAGGTTCATGACAAATACCACATCAACTGGTCAGCCTTCTGATCATCTCATAGGTGCATTTAAAAAAATGACAGTTGACTTGCTGATTAAGATCGTTAAACAATGGCTGTAGATTAATGAACACATGCAGGAGAGATGACAGTAGTGCTGCTTATAGGTGTGAGTGTTGATTCACCGGTGATTGGGAGTAACACCAGTGAGGTTCACTACCCTGTTAACATGCTGTAGTGACAACAGGGTAACTGCATGTACACTCTCTGAGTCACCGCTCATGGTGGCTGACACAGACTGAGTCTGACCTGGTGGTTACTTGTGTAAGAAACTATAAATCTTTTGGTCTGAATTCATTCCTTGCATGAATTTTAAGTCTAACATATAGTAGAGCAGCCAGCACTTTTGATAGTCTGTTACATGTATTACCATTATATCCATGTTCATATACCCATGACCACAATATGAGGGTACAATAGGGGTGTCCTGTCTTACTGATGTATTGACGCATTTTCACCTGACCATACATACAGGTTAGCACCCTCTTCAAGGGTGATTTGGACTTTCAAGGACTGAGGTATCAGGGAGCTGCTAACTGATTATACAACATGACAATGACATGACATGACGATGCAAAACGGTGAACCGATATTTGCTCCCATCTCGTCCTCAGCGTGTTGCGCGTGCTGAGTCGCTTCAAAGAATCACAACCCGCAGAAACAATAGACACACTCCATTATAATAGAAGATACAGCATACACCCATGTTTATTTGTTGTTTAACGTCGCACTCAGCAATATTCCAGCTATATGACGGTGGTCTGAAAATCATCGAGTCTGGACAAAACAATCCAGTGATTGACATCAGGAGCATCGATCTACGCAATTGAGATAAAATGACATGCATCAGCCAAGTCAGCGAGCCTGACTACCCGATCCCGTTAGTCGCGTTCTGACAAGCATAGTCGCCTCCTACCCATGTATCAGTTCATGTTTTAAGGACGTATCTATTCTAAAAATAAAAAAAAGTAACCTTCACAATGTTTTGAAATAACCAGCCTGACAACTCCTGGGGCCCAGCTTAACATACCGCCTATCACGAAACAAAATGCTAAATCTGATTGCACGATACTATCAGAACAAGATTCAATCAACAAGTCATGCAAGATGCACACAGACTGGTTGACAGCACCAACCTCTTGCAAAAACAGCACAAACAAAGTGTCTCTCTATCTGCCATATTGTGACTGGAGTATCACGATATGTACTGATGCAGGAGTGAGGCATGTCGTACGTGGCACTTCCCTTCATGAAAAGCCTTCATAAAAATAACATATTGCTGGGTCCTCTGACTGCCTATGGATCAAAAGACCAGTGTATAATCTATTCCAAAATATTTTTGTCAAAGCCTTTTAAGTACATATACGTATATCCGTCTAACAATAAATATAACAAGTATAATGCACTTGAATAAATATTTGTTGTAAACCTCAACAGAGAGCCCCTTTCTTTACAGACTGCACGCAACAAACACCCACAATGGCTATTGTGCTGGGCCCTTCACGGCCGTCTATTACCAAGTCCTGCACACAGCCCACAAACTATTCTCCAGTGTTGTCAAAGAGCTTGGCTTCTTATAACACCCCGTGTTTTGACAGGGATGACTGTTATCAAACTGTGATATCTCTACAAGGTGAAACCCTCTCTTATCTATTTCAAAGATTTTTTATATTGCATTAAGATTACTCCTATGGACTTACAAAGGGTTAGCAAAATAAGACTATGTGGGTATTAAACCCAATCCTGCGTGTCCTCAATGTACTGTAGAGTGCTGTAGAAGTGAGTGAGTGTTATTGTGATAGTAGGCTTTGAGTTTGAGCTACAATAAATAACACTTTATCTGAGTGATACATCACTGACTATCCAGTGTATGATAAGGGGTGGTAGGGTAGCCTGGTGGTTTAACGTTCGATTGACATGCTAAATGCCTGGGTTTGATTCCCCACATGGTTACAATGTGTGAAGCCCATTTCTGGTGTCCAAGCTGTGATATTGCTGGAATATTACTGAACGCGGTGTTAAACTGAAGTCACACACTCAGTCAGTATATAATACAGTCAAGTCCTGTTAATCCAACACTCGTTAATCTGATAATAAGCTTTATCCAACACTAATGATGGGAACCAATTAAATCCATGGTATTTAGACCTGTTAATCTGATAGTCTTGCACTCTGACTCCGACACACCTAATTTGCAGTCGATTGTTCAGTCTTGTTAATCCGACACAGTGATCAGCTTACTCCGTGGCTATCTGCCTGTGAGAACACAGCTCACAGCTAGTGGCTACATATTGAAATGGCTGCAGATATAAACTTGCTTCAGAAATAACAATTAATCTTTTAAATAAATCAAACAAGACTAAAGACATCTTTAGACTAATTTGTGAAATCATTTTAAAATCAGGTGTAAGTGCTACACAAAGATCTGTCACATTCCATTACAGATCACATCAGAGCAACCTTTTGCGAACTTTGACCAAACAATGGAATGACTAACAGGAAGTCCACACTAACCATCATTCTCAAGTTTTGCAGCACTTGTTTGAAACTGGCGACTTTCATTCCAGAGAGTATCTCCATTTTACTGGGCTACCCATAACAATGGCCGTCCAATCACATTACACTATTATCTCTTTTTTTCATATCACCAGTGCTCGCCATGTAGTCAGTTGTTTCAGAAACATCTGGGAACATCTTGCAGTATGAGGACTTTTCACCTGTTTTAACACTCATGAAATCTCTTCTGAGGAGATAAAATATATAGATTTTGAATTAACACCTATGCCAAACTTGCGTTCACAACAGATGTTTTGATTGGTTGTTGATTTCAAGCTGGTGAGTGAGGGACATTGTGTGGTAAGTTATGACAGGAGAGATGGAGCTGTGATGTCACTTCCTGAACAAACCTCTGGCACAACGGAGTCCAGGGTATTTATCATAATAGAATGGAGGTATAATATGATGAGTAATATATACCCACGTAACATGTTTTCGAGCCTCCTCTCTTTTCAAGCCCCAAAACAATAAGCAAGTAAGAAACGATGCGCTTAATGACATAGTTAAGGAGGACGCTTCAAAGCCCACTGAAGACATCAAAGAGTTCTCCACTCGTCTTTGAAGTTATGTCATGAATTAAGCTACACGAGGTAAGATTTTCATTAAGTAATGAAAACATACCTCAAAACTTACTTTTTCACTGATGCACATTTTAAGCAAACTTGATCTGATGATAGTTTTGTAATGTGACTAATGTCATGTGACTGATCATGTTGTGCAGCTATTTTTACCTTGACTGTCATGGAGGGGCTTGAAATCAGGTGATGGCAACAGTATGACACCTGATTGTCTTGTCTCGCTTGGTGAGGCATTATCACAACTTAATTGACAAGCTATGGTCATTTTACTATCCAGTTGGAAGCAGAATTAAATGTTCTCAAAAGTAAGACTAAATTTTAGTGTATTGTGATTGTCATTAGACACATAATGAGAAGTCCTTCTTCGGGGGTCGAAAACACAGTATGCAAGGATACAAATAATTACTCTTGATGAAGGGTCGGGTCCGAAGGTCATTGTTTTCGCATGTTTACCTTGTCAAGAGTAATCTTTCATTTTGTTATTCCAAAATTCACTTCAAAGTTTATGAAGTCTTTAAACCGTCCTCTGTTTAATTACAGTAACTTAGCTGCAAAACGTAAAATGTTCATACCAAACGCCATCTTGCTTTCTAGCAGACGAGTCAATATTCATCACAGGTCAATACTGATCATGTGACGAGTCAATATTCGAGGTATTTCACGAAAATCCCATGATTTCGGGGTCACCATTGAAATGTATTGTTTCATCATGTGATACAGATTTACCAATGGAATTGCAAGATTCTTAGAGGTTTAACAATCCAACATACTGCAAAATATGTGAGTTTTCCTTGCATGATTTACTAAAGTGATGCATGTTGTATCTGAAGATACTGGGATACTGACATACATCACATCACCTCACTGGCTACACAGTGTCCCTGACCACTACATGGCCTCTGTGGAGGAAACAGTTATGACAGTCACCAGCCGTGTATGATAGAGACAATAACCTGCACAGAAACAATGACATATATCTCATCACCTCACTGGCTACACAGTGTCACTGACCACTACATGGCCACTGTGGAGGAAACAGTTATGACAGTCACTAGCCGTGTATGATAGAGATAATAACCTGTACAGAAACAATGACATATATCTCATCACCTAGCTGGCTACACAGTGTCACTGACCACTACATGGCCACTGTGGAGGAAACAGTTATGACAGTCACCAGCCGTGTATGATAGAGACAATAACCTGCACAGAAACAATGACATATCACAACACGGGGTGGTGGGTGGTTCTTGTTTCCTAATAAAAAAATTCCTCCTGTCTCATGGAATATTGACCATGAAAACCTGGAGACACAACTTTAAACTCATTCAGCCTAATAATAAAATATCACTTTTTAAATTTTTCCTTTTTGACCAAACAATGACAAAGGAAAATCATGATAATATACACCATTAAATGGAATTGACCGTTATTAATTAGACAGGCAGTCTCCTAAAACATGAAGATTATGAATTGGAAAGATTTACCTCCAGGAGTTACATCTGACATTATAGCTTAGACGCAAGTAACAACCACACAGATACAAACAACACTGCAAAACAGTCAAAACATTCGCGCTTTGTATATGATCCTGTTAGTGACCTTATAAAAAAGAGACTGTCAGTCGAACATTAATCGCAGGACGTGAGAGGAGTAATTGGCAATTCATTGACTGAGATACATCAAACTTCAGCAGTGACAGACAGATCCCACAACAATGAGATTACACCTCAAACATAATTCACGAGTTATTGACTGAAATTGACAACTGACTCCATAATGCAATAAGCAAAGATAAAGATTGATTAGATCAATCAATAGTCAATTCTTAAGGCAATGTGAACTACATATAAGAACATAAGCACAGATCTCTGGCTCGTCACACGACTTAGATCCGCTTCATAACATCAACAAGGAAATTAACAACACAATAACACAACCTACATCTGAAATACGTCTTCGGGCTACTGTCTATATCACACAGCAGGGGCGGAGGCTGATGAGTAATTAATAATCAATCGCAACAAGTCTTCCGCTGTCAAGTTTATTGATCAAGATCTCAGATTACTTAATCCCTGTCCTATGAAGACTCAACACGGCAATCAGAGGATATCAGATCTCCGCTGCAATGGGTGTCTGTGAAATGAACGCGATATTGACAACCCTCTAGCACAGTGAAACCAAGGCCCCATTGTGGTACCCTGACAGCCCGGCCAAGCAGAACCATCCTGGCACCAGTATCACAACTGCCACAAACACAAGTGTAAGGACATTCTGTTCACTGAAACCATACAAGGGGAAACTTGTCACCTGAGCACACCCCTACGCCTCGGAGCGGCTACCAGTTTCTTTTATCTACAATCTTTACAATGCTTGGTCAAACATGGGCCTGGATTATTGTAAATCCAAGCAAACAGACAGTACATATCATAGTCAGGATTTGACATCCACTAACCGAACATGTGGATAATAAAATTGACGATCAAATCATTGGTAGCAATTACTAGCAACAGGTCATGAATAATGGATCCGAATTTTCCCATTGCATACATTGCTATCAATCTGGATGGAGTTTGACCCTTTGGATGAATAGCCATCCCAACTATGTCGGGGTGCTAATGTGACCAGTCATTGGGAGGGACACGCATGAACCATGGAAAGGGTGTTCGGTGAATGTTATTTACCTGTCAGGTATGAATTGCCTTGTGGTCATAGAGACAGCAGGTGACAATTATGGAATCATATCTGCTGTGAAAGCCTCCATTGAAATGGTAAATAAAGAATTCCAATACAGCAAGATTGAGCTATTGAGGACGAGTGTCTAATGCTATTGGCGTGGAGTACACCACGACACGTCAACTGTCTGAGAACAGCTCAAGTGATCTCCAGTTTATGTGATACCTATGTTATCTTATACGGCTGTGATAAATCTCTGTGTCCAGTGTTCTGGTATCTGTAAAGCTGGTATATAACTTCTGATTCAGTGGAAAGGAGGAGTTCACTGGGATGACAGGGATGTCCATTTCATCCACTGGGAAATCAACATTATGAAATGTGAAATCGAGTGTAAGCAACAACATCCTTTTTCTATTTGTGGAGTAAATTTGTGCTAAAAAGATTCAAGTCCTGTACTCAGAATGGTGATTGATTCAGTTTAATGTGGTGACCAGATTATTGATGACATTCAAGACAGGACACTTAAGTGCACTGACGTCGTCAATGACAACTCTATCACACTTCACAACCGTTGAAATCATGGACTGCTGCAGTCCTTGTATACATGTCTTAGACGAACTCAAACTTGTCAATCTCAAAGAAACTCATTCTTGATTGATCTTGAAGCATATCTAATCTTTGTGTATATACAGGAGCCAATATACGGATTAGGCTTGTAATCATTCAAGATAACTAATGGATTATTGTGCACAAACTAAAATACTTGGAGTAAGTCAATAAATAAGTTTTATATTCTGTTATCAATATGAAGAATTACGACCAAATTGAAAAGTTGGCGGAACAGTTTGCCAAACTTATTATTGCAGGAAGTGAAAGTGATATCCGTGAAGCGCTGGAGCATTATGGGAAGGAAAGTCGTGAGCTTTGCTCCACAATTATCAGCAATGGAAACACGGGAATTCATATACTTGCCCAAAGACATAAACCATCGCTCATCAAGATGGTACTGGACAAGGGAGTGGACATTAATGCCAGGAACAATTTTGGTTTTACCCCCCTGTACGTCGCACTGTTCTACGGAAATGTAGAAACGGCCAAATTCCTGATGCGATGTGGTGCAGATGTGAATATGTTGTTGTCAAGAAAATCTCGAACATCTCTCCTCCATAAATTAACATTTGCGAACAGGCTACAAGCCGTTCAGCTGTTGATTGAACATGGAGCAGACGTCAATGCCAAAGACAAAGAGGAAAGGTCACCTCTACATCTTGTGATGGTTAAAGGGAACACGAAGATGGCCACACTGCTGATTGACAGTGGATGTGATATTAATTCAGTGGATGAGCAACAGAAGTCCCCTCTTCACACAGCTCTCTTGTGCAAGAACACAGAAATGGCCAAGCTTTTGATACACACAGGAGCAGACGTGACCATCCGGGACCGATGTGGGATGACGCCGCTACATCTGTCAGTGATGGCAAAGTTCATGGATATGGCCAAAATGATCATCAAAAGAAGTACCATGAACATCAACACCAAGGAAAAGCTGATGGGTAGAACCCCCCTCCATTTAGCATGTGCGGACAACAACCTCAAGCTCGCTTCACTTCTGCTTGAGAACGGAGCAGACGCAACTTTGACGACGAATTTCAGGAAATCTCCTCTCCATTTAACAGCCCTGTGTGGTGGAGCGGATACGACAGCTCTCCTTCTGCGTTACACAACCAATATAAACATCCTGACAACAAACAACAAAACACCCCTGCACATCGCAGTCCAGGAAGAAAATTTCAACGTGGCTCTTCTTCTGATTCAGGCAGGTGCAAACATCAACCTTCATGATCTACATGGTTTGACTGCCCTTCACTACACTGCCCAGTCAGGCAACATGGAATGTGCCAGGCTACTCATCCGGTATGGGGCAAACGCAAATGACTCGGACACCAGGCAGATGACACCATTGCATATGGCCATCCAGAATGGTCATATTGAAGTGGCAAAATACCTCATCCGAGCTGGTGCACGTATTACCATGACGGATGAGGACAACAAAGTTCCCTTTGACTATGATGAGACAGGAGAGGTGAAGGCCTCGTATGAGAGGATGCAGGCACGGTTGCAGAGGAAACGGTCGCTGGAGGCAGCAGCTGCTGCCGTAGCTCAGACTATAGGATGACGAGAGCAGTGATGCTGATAGAATGTTGACTGTTAAATTTTGTCAGGAACTATCTACTATAGCTGATGTTTCACACACATGGAAAAGTGTGTCCTATTTTCTTCAAGGTAAAATACTTAAATCAGTAACACAATATAGTGAATTCTTTTTCATAATTTAACTTAAGTCCTGCGACCATAAAGCTGTATGATTTAAGCCATGGTTCAAACAAGCCAAGTGCTTATATAAAGACCCTAACATTGCTGGCAGGACGCAATGGGTATAGGCTGGTGAAATCAATAAGACACACATGGAAATACTACATTTTGTATTTGTGACAATGGGCTTGGATAGATTTGCAGATTTCATACATCAGATTTGATCTTAAAAGAGTTCAATTTCAATGTTTCAAAATTTTGGCTATGCTAAACATATTACATATGTGATCATTAGTTAGAAAGCTGATTATGTGGAAATACATGTACAGAGTTAATGCCAGTATGTCCATATGCCAATCTCATTAAAATCAGATCTTAGTTCTCGCTATTGCTGAACAAAGATCTGAGGACATCCCATTACGGGTCACGTCAGAACGACCTTTCATCCAACCAATCAAAGCGTCGCTTACCAGTTCATGAAAGTGACAGTCGGAATGTGTTTTCATGCAACCTCGAAAACGTTATCACGGGGTATTCCGAACGACAGTTACGGCCCGTACGACTGATTCCGTCAAAATTATCGTCTATCTCTCACTTCCGTGGGTCAAACATTTGAATGGAGGAGGTGTTGCACAGTACATGGCATGTACTGTCATACAATCTCAACCATATATTAGACATTTCGGAATGTTTGTTTGTTCAGTTTTCAAACTTTTAATCGAGAACTGTGCCAACATATTTTTCACGCATATTCTGAAATGGAAGTCGCCAGGTTGAAACGAATACCGTAAAGCTCGAGAAAGCTGATTTCTAATTGGCTGATGTTTAGTCATTTCAGTGGTTGGTCAAAGTTCGCAAAAGGTCGTTCTGACATGACCCATAATGGCATGTCCTCAGATCTTTGTTTAGCGGCAACAAACTTAGATCTGATTTTAATGAGATTGGTCCATATGCCTTCATTTCTGAGCTAAACAGTGGCAATTAATGAGTGAGTGAGTATTGTTTTACACTGCATTTAACAATATTCCATCAATATCACAGCGGGGAATAACCAGATGGGCTTCACACATTGTACCCATGTGGGGAATTGGACCTGGGTCTTCGGCATGACAAGCGAAGGCTTTAACCATTAGGCTACCCCACCACCCTGGCAATGATTGGATCATGCTTAAACTGAATTTCAAAACAGAAAACTGTGTCAATCATTATTATTGTACATATGTGATTCTCAAATGTACCTCTTATGTTCAGCAACTATATTAGTTTCCTCTTACAATTTTTAGCTGATTGATAAATTTTGTCATATTCATCCATGTACTCTGTATGCATGATTTGTTATCAAGAATTATATATTTTACATAATAAATATTTCTCAGAATGTATTTTTGACTGTTGTTTGGGGTAGCATTATGAAACATATCACTTCCCAGACAACTACATATCACCTTGAGTTAATAACATAGGACATCATTTTGCCATTGTACAGAAATTACTGTTCACAGATATCCCCATCAAAAAACAATCCTGTAACCTACCTGTAATAAAACCTAAACCATGCCTCCTTTGTCTTGGACTGTATACGGTATATTAACAAGCTGAATTGTTAGTGGAACACCACTTGGCAATGACAGATCTTCCTTTGTCCCCTTCATTTCCCTTGATGGTAAAACAATGTCACGTAAAATGTGTCGCCAGGAGCATCAGAACCAGTGAAGTCTGCACCGAAGACTAAGGGATGTAGTCTTCTGCCATGACAACATGGAAAACATTGAATGACATTAAGAACTAAAAACTTACTTACATCCGAACCAATAGTTCATCCATTTATGAACAATGAAATATGTTTTAGGCAACATGTTTTATGTTATTCTATGCACTGTGGGCTGTGGGGACACGCTAGGGCTATGTCTGCTTATAAATGATCCATCAACATGGGCAAGTAATATTTAGGTGATTGATGATGTATGAATTGCATACTTGTCCCAGAACATGCATTTCATACCCTGTGTAGGAAGAGAGTGAGGTGCACGTGCGAAAGGCTCAGGGAACAGTTCCCACAGATCACACAGTGTTCTCACAGTTAAGCATTGAGTTCTTGAATATCTTACGAAATATGGTTATCAAAACACTGTTGTTTAAACATTTTAGGCGCTAAGGTCCTTTGAATGTTAGCCATGTTACTGAAAGGTCAGAGCTCTCGGACCATGGTGTGTAATCTTTCAAATGTTTAGTTTCAGTCTAGTCCTGGTGCTCTAACCTATACTTTATGTTTCTGACAAAATTAATCTTTGTTTTTTGAAAACCATAAAATGGTTTGCTATTCCAATCAACAAGACATTTTAGGTGACACTTTTCATTTTTCAATTAATGGATTGACTAGCTTGAGGCAATAGCCACAATTAATGGATTGACTGGCTTGAGGCAATAGTCACAACTAATGGATTGACTAGCTTGAGGCAATAGTCACAACTAATGGATTGACTAGCTTGAGGCAATAGCCACAATTAATGGATTGACTGGCTTGAGGCAATAGCCACAATTAATGGATTGACTGGCTTGAGGCAATAGTCACAACTAATGGATTGACTAGCTTGAGGCAATAGTCACAACTAATGGATTGACTGGCTTGAGGCAATAGCCACAATTAAAGGATGAAAATGGTTGCTTGTTTTTCTATTTGTCCATCTGCTCTGTAATGGAAGGAAAATAGTATACAAATTAGTAAGGACTGGTGCAGGTAAAACATCTAATACAAAGAACAAACAGGCATGAATGTTCTCAGGTAGCAGGTTAAAAGTTTGGTGTCAGATAAAAGTCATCTTCCCGAGGCAAGGGAGTAACTGACTCTGAAAGTCCAGTATCCACTATTGTTGGAATTTCTGGGCTCAATTGTAGCACCACCAGTGGCTATTATGAGTTATGTCCCTTCTATGTCCCTCCTATTGACCAATCAGATTGCAACTCTCATATCACTTGTATTTGCTTTAAACCAAAAGTTGGCACCCAGTCAAAACGATCTGATTGATGATCAACATGTAGATTGGAACAAAACAGATCTTACCTCACAAAGTGCACCAAATCGTGTAAGCACCTTGATTAAAGTCATGAAAAATCTGGAAAATATCTCTAATGTCCAGTTGATGGTACACATTCTTTGGAAATCCTGCAGTCGACCGAAATCTGCACGTTGAAATTCATGTTGTTTATGAAACGGTTGTCAATTTGGATTGGACCATGCATAGACTTGCTAGTCCAGCCAAAATTTAGCTCCATAATTGCAGCCTAATCTGGCAAGGGTGAAAACTGGACTTTTACAATAAGTTAACTCCCTTGCCATGAGAAGATGGATAAAAGTATCAATTACTGAACAGTTTTAACAATTTATCCCTCAATAACACAACCTTACAGTTATGCAGTCCGGATCAAACCATAACCTGTGAACATCCAACAGTTGTTTCCTTAAATCCGAAAAAAATATAAAACAATCCACAAGGTCAAGTGAAGAAAATAAATCTACAACAATTTCACAGACACAACTTATGTTCACTTTCATATCCACCTACCCTAGCCATGCAGGACAACCTGAGCTGAAGATAAAACTAATAACGGTATGGCTTTAGTGGCCTTAATTGGAACTAAAATGTTTGTATATAAGAAATTAAAATACAAAATATCAGTGGCATAGCTCTGTTTTAGATACGTTGCACTGGCCTGCTCGTGTTTGATCAGTGTTACGAGTATCAAATATGAAAATAATTTCCCCTAGCTTTGCCCCTGTACATCATCAAATTTGAGGGACCGGTCATTTATTATAGAGGGCTGAAGGTGGGGTGGGGTGGGGTGGGGTGGACTGAGATTGGCCTTAGGACTGTATCATATTCGGCTGAGCCCCACCCACTCTATGTAACATTTTTTCATGCCCCCATCACACACATATCGAATGATCAGTCCCTAAATAATGGAATCAAATTTACATCATTTATATTTGAAAAACCACAATTGTGTCATTTTTCATGCCCCCCCACAAGTTGTGATAAATTTTGGCACCCCCCCCACCCCCCTTGCGCTGTGTCATTTTTTCATGGGCGCCCCCACCTCCCCCTCCCAATGTTACTGGCCGCCCCACCCCCCTATAATAAATGTCCAGTCCCTAACCTGAAGCTGACCTCTTCACCAAATGTAAACATATTGACACTTACTGTACAAAGGAGCATAAGTATGTACAAGTTTTGATTACATGTTACATGATGTAAGCACACATAGGAACATTGTGTACACATATTACAGCATGCAGCCGGAGACATTAATCATATATTATCCGACAGTACGTGTGATAAACAAGACAGGAGGCCCTGGTACCAGACTACAAACGTGTTCAATACACTGCTATGTACGTGCCATGTGCACTGACATAATGACATGTACATACAACCCTACTACATTCCATCAGCCATAATTTCACAGACGTGGCAGCTATAAGAGCTCAAACACTGTGAAGACCACATCCGGATTGCTACCTACGACTTAAGGAGGCATGTAAACACAATATGAAAAGTACACACGACTTAATCGAATCTGTATCAGGGCCTGCTGAACAATAAACTCGCCAATGTCAGTGGTTGAGTGTTTGGGCAGGAACTCGATCGCCCCTCCCTTGACATTTCAAGACACACAAGTATAGACAAAGAGGCCTGAAGAGGCCGCCGAAATCAGCAAATGTATGCCACTGTATGTAGACATGAAATATGACCCAACATGAAATGAACCATCACTTGAAGGACATCGGATAAGATTCACAGATAGCTCATTAACCAAGCAGTAGTACATGTACTATAATTAAATCTGTGTCTCCCTTCCCCTTGTGACCAGCTTCTCTTGCATGACTAGCAAACTCCACAATTAGGCTGATCCTCGTCGTGGATAAAACATATTCATCTGATATGGGGTACAAATAAGTATGTCTTTGTTGGAATGGAGAGATCTCATATCATGAGCACACCAATTCTTGTTAATGCTGCAGTGTTTCACTACAAAGGGGCACCGCATGGCCTGAGTCTATGACATGGGTAGCCGGCAGGGTGTAGGTGTCAGACAGCCTTACCACCTACCCCCGCTCCAACTGTGTGTCCAGTTATTTGTAAACTGTCTGTCACACGGACCAGGGTGCCGTTGTACAAAGCGATCTTAGCAATAAGGTGATCGTAACGCCCATACCTTAACATAGACTTACGACAGTCGGAGCGCTGAGGTCGTAACTCCCATACCTTAACACAGGCTTACGACAGTCATAGCCCTAAGGTTGTTTTGTACAACAGCACCCTGGGGTCATTAGGAATATTAGTCCTGACAATCTGTCCCAATATCAAAACTCAAATCATTAGATGCAGAACACTAAACACACACTTTCAGCCCCAACTCGTATCATCACTTACACATTTCTGTGTTTGCAAATGAAGAAAGAGAGTGGCATCCTT